AACTATGGAGGAATACGATTTTTTGTTTTTTTATTCCCCCTCTGTAATTAATTAATCAATTTGAGTTTTAACGGGCGGGAGAGGGAGGGGAGAAGGTAGATGTTCACCGATTTAATATGCGAGCGATACGCGCGAGTTGAGCATTTTACCTCTCCGGCCTTTGCCTTTTTAATCCTCTGTTGAATTTTATCTCAGTTGTTACGGCCCCCGCCGCTTGAATTAGTTAAAGAGCCTATCGGAAAAGTGGCGACAGACCGGAACGAACCAACTTGGGTAAAACACTCCTTTGGGTGTATAAAGCTGTATTAGGCGTCGTATCTTACTTCGTCGTTGCAACTTCCTAGTGTCGCTTGGAGACTCACGGATCCTTCGGGGATTTACATGCGGTCGAGAACCATTGAGCGAGACAAAGTGAATAATCAATGTGCACAAAATTATGTTACGTACTATGACTTTCATTATTTGCGGAGAATCAGCGTTCCCGCGAGCGAGAATTGTAGAGATACGTTGGAGAAAATACACGCGGAAATATTACTGTCAAACGGATACGTAGCATTGCCGTCATACGCATTTTGAACAATGAAGTTAATCCAGCCAAAAGTGTTGTACAGTTGGGCTGTAGCAAGTTAATGCCCATCACAAAATAATACCGCTGGTTTACAAAAGCATATAATCTTCCTTTATTTTTCATTGTCTTGTGTTTTAATTTATTTGATTCGATAATCGAAACAATGAGGAAATATTTACATTCAAATGGAAAAATTATTAATCGTACAATTTCTTCTGCTAATAAAATATTACATTTCTAGTGACTCTGATAATTTCTGTTATATCCATTTTATATTGAGTGCACTTTTTGTATGTTGTACAATCACGGTTAATATAAATCATGGTTAATATAAATCTTGAGAGATACACAGCAAAGTCTCGATAACAGTTTTATACATATTTAGACTTTTCTTCTATCTGTCAATTAGATCATATTTTATAAATGTAGAAAAAAATAACAAGGTTATTGGCAATAAGACTCGATGTGACAGATACGATTTCACGAAGGTATAAGACAAATGACAATATTTCATAGAAGCGCAGCGAATGAAACACAAACGCGAATAAAGTAACAATAATTTGGTGAGGTGCCTCGATTTTTCAACCGGGTTCATTATTCTTTCTTGCGACTTCCTTCCCTTTTTTTAACGTTCCTTCTGGTATTCTGGTTTCTTGATAAATAGTTCTTGGCAGTTTGACCTTTCGATGTGAATTCACGAGAAAAGACAAATCGATTCCGTTCCCTAGTGACCCGATCGTCTGTAACAAATATTACATCGTTCGATAACCGTCTACAACGGTCTTTTTTGGGTTTTCTTCGCTTTTTTTTTCAAGAAATAAAGAGTCGTGCATTATTAACTGTCTTGAATCCTGTGTTCTTCAGCCAGCGACGGCTAATCATAGCATAAACTTAGCGTGATATAAAATGACAATGTCACGCCGTATATAAAAATTGTTCAGCTTACTCCAACAATGATAACACTTTCTCCATTCGCTCCGCACACAATGCAATCCTACGTGGCTGTGTTACATCTCCACGTAAAGCGTAGGTTACGTTTCACGGAGCTTACGTGGCGGAACGTAAAGTAAATACCGCAGACTTGAATAGTCTGAACTGCGTAAGCCGGGCGTAGCATGCCGCCAGCTAGCACGTATGTATCTACGTCGCTATCACGATGAAAGGCAGAAGCTCCGAAAAGCTGTCTCCTGATTGCGCGTAACCGCGCCCGGCGCCAAGATTGGTCCATTAATCTTACCACGGACGCACGCGATATCGCAGTTTCATGAAGAGGCTACGTCCTAAATAAATGCCGCCGCTCGAAACAGCGGCGCCATAGTGCAGAAAATGCAGTTGCGCAATTGCACAGTGATGGTTGCACCGGTTGCCGAATGAGAAAAAAGAAAAAAGAGAGAGAGAGAGAGAGAGAGAGAGGCAGAGGGAAAAAAAAGCGAAGCGGTAGAATGGCTCGTATGCGAACTCCAACAATGAAACCTTCCTTAGCAGTACACTGTTAGCGAAGCTCGAATGGAACAGCGGTCGTGGTCAATGGATGGAATTCAGTTATTCAAGTTTGAATGTAACAAAAAAGTTGAAAACTCGATAGAATCGCAAAAGAAAAGAATTATAACAAAAATATCATGAATACGTTGTACAAAAGAATACGTTCCTCTGACTTTTCTCGTATACTTAATGTGTGTTAAGTTAGTCAGGAGAAATTTTATATAGCAATATTATAAACACATATACGTGTACCAAAAATAAATTTTAGGCGTTTTAGTGAGACACTTATACATTCGATGGCAAACGTTTGCAAAATATCGATTTCGTGGAGTAACGACTCTTCGTGTAACAGTTTCAAAATTAAGCGTTTATTATAAAGTTATCTCGTCGAAATTATCATAAATTTTTTTGCGTAAAGTCAAAGTTAAACGGAATGAAATATTTTGACAGATTTATGTTCGCTATTAATTTATTGCAACACGCCGCGCAATTATTCGCAGTTGCTCGTAATTGTAATTTCAAATTTTCACTTGCGCGCGAAAGGACACAAAACATGCGTATATATTGGCTTTTACAAATTTACATTTCCCTCGTGTAATCTACTACTCTCGTGCTCATAATGCAAGTAATTTTACTCTCTGTCATCTGCGAATGTAATTATCCTCAAGTTGCTCCGTGGCTCGCATTTATGAGACGCACGAAGTTATATAACTATTGGGGAAGCACCGTCACTGAACATCGTTAAACTCGCGACAAACGGTTGTCATAATCTCCAAGTTTAGATAGTTTCGTCACCTCGAATTCGCTGGAAAATATCATAACGTTATCACGCGTTACCATCCACAAAATTCGCGACGATTCGTACACCCACTGACCTGTATTGCAAATATACACAATGTACGGTAGCATATATTTTATGTTATTTTTCCCTTTAATGAAAATAAACTATTTAATCCTGGATGAAATGTATAATTTTTTTGCTAATGGATCCGGATATTTTAAAGAAAGGGATAAAAATACAAAAATTTTAGAGGAAAATGTTTATTGCATCTATCCGTTATGTTGACGCCAGTTCTACAAGTGTAACATGCTAGAGACTATAAACAGACAACATTTTGACAAAACATCCATATATTTTCCAGTATAAACGTTTTTTAAATGTAGCAAAGCAGAATTTTTCATGGAAAAGCTTTATTTTTGCTCAAAGAGATTTTTCTTACAAAAAAAAAAAAGAAAAAAGAATAAGAAAATAATGAGAAATCTTACCATATCACTAAATTAAAAATTACATTTGGTATAAAGGTACAATAAGTACAATGATTATCGGTTGAAATAATTAAATGTATTTATTTTATAAATATAAGTTTAAAAACTTTACTCTCTGATTCGCTCTCTGACCGCAAGTTATGATGCACTTGCGTGTTTCGATTCGCTTTTTTTGATATCGACAAATTTAATGACTGTGCGAGCCACAGTGCGTGTCAGATTTATTTTTCAACCGTATAAAAAAAAAGCACCATGAGGCATTTTAAAACAACGCGCTGTAATTTTACACTCGTCAGAATTTGACTCGAGTCGCCGCCGCAGTCATTTGACATCCTACCTTTGCAAAGCGCAACGGGCGAATGTATGTATATGTAGAAGGATGGTTGAACGAGGTCGCATCGAGTTTCCTTCCTAACTTTCATCCCCGATCGATAAATTTTACGCTGTACATTATACATTTTTTTTGTGAGGCTGTCTCTTCACCATTAGAACAGCCAAATCGAACCGTTAGGTGTTTTTTTTATCGGCTATGAAAAATCTCTATAAATTCTTTAAGTTAATAATTTAACAAAATTCGTGGTTCATCATGCACGTGAATCCGCAAATTCTTTCATATAGATACAACTTCTTTTACGTAGTAACAGATTAACACAGTCTTATGACCGTCACGTTTTTGATATGATAAGGAGGAAGATAAATTTCTCATAAGTCTCATAAGTTGTGCTGTCAAAGTGACGCGCGTCACTTGTGAACGGCGTAAACGATGTTACTGGCGACGTATGACCATGTTCATCGCGTGTCACTTGTCACTTCGATGCACCATCTCGCACATAAATCTATGGAATTGTTTCAAAATGACATGTTGCGGACCAAATATTGCTAATATGTGTTGTTATATCTCGCCCAGCGCGGCGATTCGCTGTTATATAAGTGCTACCAATTTTTCTAGATTGACTACCAATTTTTTTAAATATATATTTATCGTGTACTATGAGAATCGGATAATTAAATTCTATTCTCAAATATTAAAATTCAGATTTTTGTAACTGTATAGGTATATTTACTCCCAAATATATGCTTTTGTAATGAGATAACACAAATAGATCCTCCGATTTTAACGGTATTTCGTTATTTTGTAGAATGTAAAGGGGGGGTTCAATTTTATTCTCGTAAAGAGAACTCGACCTTACAAACAAATATTCTGAAAACGGATATGGGTTCAACACTGTTAGCGTAGAGCAGGTATTCTCTGCAGCAGAGTACCCGTCCGTTAATCGAGTTCACGATCAGAGTACTCGAAATCACGGGTTCGATTTAATGGATTTCGATTAAACTGATTCGCGAACATTTTTGATCTAATCGGATTTTCGATATGTTTCAACGTTGGCACGCTCTACGATTTCTGATACTGTTTCGCTGTTGATATATCGTTGTTATGACAACCTCGTGCAAACAATCGAGGCTTGCAAAAATTAATTTACTTCGCTTGATATCTGAAAAATGAGTTGAATACGCGAGTATTTCCCGATGTTTTAGTAATCGGATAACGATAGAAATAGATCAATAGATTCGGATGAAAATTGATAGATGAAGAAATGAAATTCTTTACCAATTGCTGTCTTAAATTTCTGCGATAGCCAATCTGTTGATCCTCTAACGTTCCTCGCGCTTTCTTGTGTTACAGGGCGGCAAGCGAGGAATCTGGGATTACCGGGACAGACATCGGGTCATCATCACGGTACGCAGGATGCATCATTATCGGACAGTTACAATAACAGTGAGTGACCATACGTTGACGAGCGCAATCCAGCTGGAAATCACTGGCAAAAGCCGCTGGATCCCGTGGGATGTTGCGGGAATGCACTCGATGTCGAAAATCAGACTCGCGTGGCTGCACGTTGCGAGTGTCAACCGGGACCGAGCATTATCGTCCTTGTTGTTTGCGTTAAAGGCCAAAATAAACTACGAAACACCAGCGCTTTCGCGTTACGTTTAACGGTCGTTGCACGTGTACGGGACGTCGTGCGTGTATGTGCGCGCGCGCGCGCGTGCGTGTGTGTGTGTGCATGTATATCGCACGTACAGGAGTCGCGCGGGCACCTCGTGAAATGGGCCATTTCGCGCCTCCGCATATCCGCTTGCTTGTAAAATAACTTTCCCTCTCCTCTCCGCCGCACGATTCGATTCTTTCCCCGCACACCACGAACCTCGGGCTCTTTTCGATATTACACCGCGACGATAAACTCGCGGTGGGCTTATCGCCGTATCGGGCGCGCAGATTGTTTTATATGTGTATAATCTCTATTGAAAATAATCCCCTGCCTCCCGCAATACGTACGCGCGCGCGCGCGCGCGCGAGTGTCGTCGCCTGGCAATGGATTTTTATACCGTCCGTTTTTTGTGTCACATATCGATCATTACGAAACGCTGAGCGCCAACAAGTTATTTTTTGTCGAATCGCATGGCTGCATAATGCAGGTAACAAGCCTATATTGCTCGATGGATAGCGTACGTCAAACGTTGGTGAAGTAATAAAAAGCGATATCTGCGGTGCAGAGTCATTTTAATTTTACGAGCAGTTTCGTTACTGCGTATTAAAGAATGACATATGTATAATCATTTAGAGCAAAGCAATTTTCTGTTATCGTGTGTGTGAAACGTGACCGAATTATTATTTAGAGCGAATCGAAAAACGGCGTTTTTGCTATTTATATTATAGTTTAATTAATATATATAACTGAAATGCAATGAAAGCGATATTAATACTATATCCATTATTTGTTTTTGTGCACTTTAGAATTTGATTTGAGTCTTTTTTCGAGTTTGATTTTTAAATGGAAATGGATGAACGTGTTTAAAAAAGAAAAAGGTCGATTACCATCGATAATTTTATATTTGGAAATGTAATCCGATTGAATATTGGAAGAACAGGCTTCTATTACAATTATTGTACCTTTCATTAGTAATTACAAAAATGGAAGAGCATGATCCTATTCCGCAAATACAGTTTGAATATCGAATAACTATCGCGCGGATATCTGTATATAAAGGTGACTAAATATTAGATTTCTATTTTTCGTTTTATCTGGCATGATTTTTTTAATGCCGCAGCTGCAACACTTTTACGTATTTTATCACGATGCTCCACATACCGTGTATACACGATTACCGTGTCGACAAACATGAATTCTCGTTGGAGAATCTTTACAATTATAGCGGATAAATTTTATAAATAGGTACTCCGTGAATCAAAACGAATTTTTTTGCCGTTTCGGCATAGTTTAACCATTTGCATATGTCTTACCGGTCGATATTAGAGAAGCATCCGGGATAGGGGCGGTTCGACGAGCAGTCGTCAAATTCCGACGTCAGATAAAAATATATCAGCTGCGTCACAAAAGTCGGATGAAATCTCGCCCGGTTCCGCCACATCTCACTCATCTATACCCCTCCCCTATCCCTGCCCACCCATTTCGCCCGCTATCACCCGCCGTTGCCCTCCTCGGTTCTCCCACATCCTCGTCTTCCTCGTCAGGATTCTGGCCTGCTTTTTTTTTTGTTCATCGCGAAAATCCGCGACGAAACCTCCGCGCGGAGAGGAGAAGTTTCGATATGCAGTGGCTCTCTAAGTGCCCCTCCCCCGGCCCCTCCGTCGCCATTCTACGTCCCCTTCTATTTGCCCGTTTCCGCGTCGATCGATATCACCGACACCCGTGATTCCGAAGCCGGGTGCCGGCTTTCGCAGCGGGACGGAAGGCAGCAGAAACGCGTGGCGAGACGCAACGTCGGGTGTTCCATGGAACACGCGCGAATCATTCGTCACAATGGTGACGTGCTGCCGCTCGGCTTACCGTCCCCCCCCTCCCCCCTCTTGCTGTCCCCCGCAATTTCTCCCGTTCCTAGAGAGAAGTCTATCGCTACGCGCGCGTTCGACGTTTCCTTCCTTCCTTCCTTCCTTCCTTCCTGCCTGCCTTCCTTCCTTCCTTCCTTCCTTCCTTCCTTCCTTCCTTCCTTCCTTCCTTTCTTCCTTTCATCCTTCCTTCCTTCCTTCCTTCCTTCCTTACTTCCTTCCTTCCTTCCTTCTCTCCTTCCCGTCCGATTTCCCGCTCCACCTGTTTCCCCAACGAAGAGAATTCCCCCTTCGCCCCAAATGCGATCTCACCGTCGTGCGCGCCGAGACTAATCGGTAACATGGGCACTCGGGAAATCTTACGATCTGACCAATTCCCCAGGAAAAGAGGAACGACAACTCTTACGCTTCAGGCGAAACCAACGTTTCTTTGCGACGTTAATTTGCGATGTTTCGCCTACGTAGATTTCTCGCGAGATTTTTAATATAGATGTTCTTTACATTGCACAACCACTATTGCAATCGGCGGCAAGAGTAGAGGCAGCGTGCATTTGTGTGCACGAACAGAATCTCTGCGCATAAAATATACATGTATTATTTTTATAGACACTTAATTGTTTCTTGCAACATAACATTATAATTGATTATTAAAATTTTATTACTTTTTGTTTTTGACATTTTATTGTGGCGTATATTATAACGAGGACAGAGAGCGAGATAATTTTATGTAGCTGCCATTATCGAATTCCAACCGAGGTGAAGCGAATTCACTTTACAGCACGTGACCCAAAAAAGTTTTAATCATATCGCATTAATAACGTAAACTAATCAGGCACCAGTTAGACTGTTAATTAACTGTCTCGACTGTAGGACGGATGATGAATAATTTAATGTTTACGGTTCGTTTGCACCCTAATCAACCGAGTCGCCTGCGTTAAGCGGGCAATGTGGGAAGTTGGGGTTGTTTAGATAAACCAAGGAGATGGCATTATTTGGAGAGAAGTTTACTCGTCGTGAGACAATCAGATTCGTAACTAGACCTCGCGCTGTGAATAAGAGCTGAATAAGATCCGGCTGTAATTTGCGGAAATGAACCGATTGTCATCTCACTGATGTGCATGCGAATGGCGATGTAAGCCGGAGAATAAACAACGCTGACGGAATAAACAAAGGCACAATTTCTATCTGCCGGCAATGTAATTGTTAACAATATTGATAAATTCTAAATGAAAATATTTATGAAGATTGAATCATTTTGATTAAAATTAAAACTAACATTTTTATAAGATTAAATAAGATTAATTAATATTAGTGATACACAATCTTTATGACGGTTAATATTAAGTGAATATTAATCCATACTTTATATAATTATTTTATATTAATGAAGAATGTTATAGAATGTTATAGAAATCGCAATCGTATTGTAATACAAAAGCGAATTGATTTTAAATTTTCAAAAACGCAATACTAATTTACGTCTTGATCATCACGATCATGTAGTATTACGCGACGCAAAACTTGAATAACTTCAAAACCGCGAAAACCGGGGGTATACCGTATTGCAAGTAATATTTGTCCTCGTTAAGAGGCAAAATCAAAGGCGATAAGGGAATAAGGGACGGAGTTAGACCGAGTATAAGAAGACCGTGCTTGAATCTTAAACTAACCGGCACGACTATACCGGCACATTTCGGAGACGAAGTGCTCAGGCGCGGGCATGAATATGAATGAGTCCGCGGGGTGATATTCTGAAGTGCGAAATAAAATAATTTCCTTCGTCGTAGCTCGCGGCTTCACGTTGCCGCGGAATATGCACGAGGCAGGCACGGGCATCATTGGACGCGCTGGAGGCGAGGAGAAGAGCACGGGAATAAAGTAGATACCGCCGACGAGTGACGAGCGTAGGAGAGACGCGTGAGATCCGCGAGTTCGCGGAGCCAACCCCCCGTTTCTTTATCGCCGCGGCGAACGACGTTTCTCTCGCGACGTTTTCACGGCGCGATATTCCGTCTGTCGAAATTTCCGACGGTGCAGGTCTGGTGAGCGGAGGGTGGTGGCGAGAGACGCGTGGTAATGCGACGCGTTCGCGCGGGAGAGAGAGAGAGAGAGAGAGAGGGGGGGGGGGGACACGCTGCGAGTGGTGAATAGTTAGTAAACGTTAAGTAACCGGCGCTGTATCGACCTGCCAAGTGTGTGCATATCGGATTTCTGCGACTGCGGCAGAGACGCTGGCGGCGGTGGTGGTAGCGGCGGCGGCGGCGGCGGCGGCGGCAGCGGCAGCCCCCGAGGCACAATTCAACGAGATATTACATTTAAACGGGACTTTATTTACTCAGCCGACTGCGTTACTCCTTATATGCCACGCGGTACGCGCGCTCTTCCCATCCCCTACGTCTTTTCTCTTACCCACTACGCGTTTCCGTACCAGACGACACTTCCTGAGGCTATTATCCAGCGTGTCGCCTGTTCCCATCTCGTTTCCCCGCAGTTATACCGCCTACAAATCGCTACCAGATGGGGAAAATTGAATTAGTCAGGGCCACACTTGTAATTATAGCCTGGTCACCCATCTCGACCGCTCCACCACGGTCTTACCGCTGGTCTTACCACCGTCTCGCTCTTACTACTTCCGTCCGACTTACCGCGCACGTACGGGACCGCCGGTAATAGCAGTAATTTTTCCTACGTTAATTTCATGCAAAACTTTCCAGCTTCGGTCGTCGTCTACATCGCGAATGGTCGTTCTTTCCCTCTCTCTCTCTCTCTCTCTCTCCTTTTCCCTTTCTTTCTCTCTTTTTCTCTCTTTCTCTATTCTTTTTTTTTTATTCTTTGAGCGCAAAGTGAATCTGCACGCGCGCCAACCGGAGATGGCAGAATCGGAGCAGGAATATTAGAAATATTGGCCGAGTATATTTTTCGCCGGA